AAAGTTTGCATCATATGGAACTTTTTTTATTTATTGACTTGATGAAATTTGACTTGGGCGATAGTTTCTGCTTTGATATAGATTAAAAATTTACTCTGTTGCCGTCGGGTATCTATCAAATTGGACGTTTAAAGTAATAAATGGCTAAAAAACGGGTTTCGTGGCTAAATTTAGAAAAACCTTACTTAAAAAAAGTTGTCTTTCTTTAATTCTACATAAATATACCAGTTTCCAGCCATCTAGATGAAACCATTTTTTTCGCCATAGCCACCAATTCTCGTGATAGAAGGAAAAAAAGACTGACATGAACCCGTTTATCATTCAAATATTTATCTAGTATTCATATATTTAGTTCAATGTTTTTAATAAATCAATAGTTTTTTTTATGAAAATCTATAAATCAATCTATAATAATTCTTCTATATATCGAGGTGACAATATTTTTTATACATTTTTATGTCTATATATTGCTAATGTAATCAATGGGAAATTTGTAGCCTTCCCCCACCAGTCTATTTTATGAGATAGAGCAAAATTACTCTATATCAAAAAAGTTACAAATTTCTCGATGATTACAATAGTAATATTTAAAATACCTGTCCACCTGCATATTTTTGAGAAAAACCCTGTTTTCTGATTGACTATCAGAGAAGCGCCCCATAGCGAATATATTTCGTACTTAAAAATAATTTCCAGTGATTTATGTTGGTCGATTTACTTATTACAATATTTTTTCTAAAGTTATACGATACGTAGTTTCTGAGATACAGCCGGCATCAATTCTTAGTTGGCCACCCGGTACGAATAGAAATTTTATGATTCCATTTCCATAAATTCGGAACTTACTTTGTGTCATTCAGTGATATTTTCATCACTTTTTGTCTACAAGTAAATTAATTTTTCTTTAAAAAGCTATTAACAGATTCAGTAAATTTAACTGAATTTAACTGAATATATGACCCCTAGGTAAATATTTCCCTGACAAACGAACTACCATCAGTTATTTTTGCTTCTACAACAAGCGGCTGCTATTGGTTAAAAATTACAAAATTTTATTTTTCATCTAGATGGCTAAAAATTGGCACACCTATATAAAATTAAAATGGAATTAACTTTTTCAAATAAAGTTTTTCGAAGTTCTACCCAGCTAACCTATTTTTTACCCATTTCTTACTTTAAAGGTCAAATTTGACAGATATCTGGGGACAACAGGCAAACTTTTCTTAAGTCATTTTTAAACTATTGCCTAAGACAAATTCACACAGTCAAATAAAAAAAGTTTCATATGATACGAACTTTATCTGTGACTGTATAATCGAGGCTTCTGCACGTAGCAACAGGCTACCGCATGTAGCTGCAGGCAACTCTGCTTTTCTTTGTGCCTTTATCTCTGTCAATTGGTTACGTTATATGTAAGCTGTTGTTAATCTTTGTTTTACGCGTTAAAATACAGACCACGGATTTAGAATGACCAGGCCGATATGCAATAAGGAATGGGATGCTTGAATTGGCAACCTTAGATTCAGATTTGTACTGTCCCGCTTGCGTTTCTCCATCGGGCGGGCTGACTACCGGCGTACCTGGCGAACAGACCGAAAGCAGTCCCATGTCTTTTCGAGAACACTCGGACATAGCCTAAAAATAAGACAAGGAATCGCCTGACTGATACTTATCCCGTTAATAATATTGCACAACATAAACCGAATACCGGGTGCGTTTCAAAAGTGGCTCAATAATCAGTTGTTTATTAGGTATTAAAACTTTATAATATGCTGCAACTACACGTACCTACTATTTTTACGGTTTTCAGTTATCTAATTCTTTTTCCAATTCTTAAAATATCTTAAAGAACTATTATTATAAGATAGCCCACCCCTCTAACTTTTTTATTTTTTCAGATAAAAAACAAGATTTGGTATATATGACATATGACATAAATCATGATTGATTAACCTATTCAATTGTTTTTAGTCACTTCCTGTTCGACCGGAAATGAATACAACTTTTGATTTTTAAATGGCACCCTTGGTATAGTTTTATTTATTTGATAGAAGATGACACCCTAGACATGTGTCATATGATGACATATCATGTCAACTTTTGACATTTTCGCATAGGGTTTATTTGAAATTGTAACATGCGGTTCATAACGATAATTTGACTCGAAATACCAAGTGTACACTTTCTCCAAATATGCTAATGAGCTATATGCTTGTTCCATTTGAAAAAATTGAGATATGATTAAAAATACGATTTGGGCATCTTTTAACCGACCAGGACAAGACACGAAAAACATTAGACGACCAAATCCTTTTTTCCAATGCTCATTGATTAAAAATTAGTGTTTTTAACGCAGCCATGGCACTCTAGATTGAAATTTAAAATACGATTTTTTAAGCGAAAATGTCAAAAGTTGACATATTATATGCCATTCTATCGAGAGTGTCATTTTCTATCAAATAAAGTAAAAATATACCGAGGGTGCCACTTAAAAATTAAATGTTGTAGTTATTTCCGGTGAAATAGGAAATGACCAAAAACAATTGAATACGTCAATCAATCATAATTTAGGTCATATACTAATATACCAAATCTGGTTTTTTCATCTGAAAAAAAAATAAAAAAGTTATAGGGGTGAGCCACTTTTGAGACGCACCCGGTATATATCTTTGATCGCAGGGAATAACTTGTTAAATAGAAATAGCATGCCCATGATAAAAAATATTTTGATGTAAGCAAAAATAAATAATAAGCAAAAAGTGGGTTAGATGAAAATAACGAAAAGAATTTATTAATGTCGAGAGATTCAGTCAAAATATTAGTTTATTATTGTTTAAAATTATTATATAAATATTTAAAAAGATACGGAAGACCAATTTTTTTACCAAATTTTGAAACATCGTGGAAAATTATTTCTTTCCGTTTGAATTATATTAGGCAAAGTGGATAAAACAAAAATATTTAGTAAGTTTTCTAACAGAATAATGTATCACTAACTTTCGATTTTAACTAAGAGCAAAGCGAAAAAATAGTTAAAATGAAATTAGAAAATTAATTAGTTATCAAACGCTGTAGTATAAAATAATAGAATCCGATTTCGTTTCCCAAAGACATATTACACAAATTTAAAAAACACTTTTGTTAGAAAGAAATAGTTGAAAGCTTCAAAAAATCAGATTTTAAACGTATTTGAGTAAATCTGAGTAATTGCTGTACTTCTGCTTCATTACAGATTAACTACAACTAAACAATATGCTTATATCTTTAATGGTAACGTATTCCTTGCGATCACAGAAATATTGTCATGTATTATTAGTCTTACTTTATTGGCGACACTTGCGGAAGCAATAGAGCCCATTCTACTTCCTGGTTCAGCTTTAACGGAAGTCGCTTGAGAGGAAGGCCTATGACAGACTGGCGTCTGCGTATTTGAGCTCATGTCGAATCGAGCCATGTCAGTAGCAGGTTGAACTTCTGGATGAATCTAAAAAATTAGTTATATAAATCAAGGGGTACATAATATTTACATGGTGGCCCTCTAAATCATGGCGCTGGATGTGATTGGGGAACCGCTAGTGATAAAACATAAGGAAAACTTTTACTAAAATTTTAGGAATATTCTCTTTTGCAAAAAGCAAAGTTTAATTTTCCAACTGACGTTTCGGATTTGAGAGATCATCATCAACTTTCTTAATTTGAATGCGGAGCTGGCTTTTTTATTTCACCAGTGATTTCTTTTTACAATTACATAGTAAATTGTGATATAAAATTTATGGCAATACAATTTGAGTTTTTTGAGAAAATCGGCATTATTTGGAATATTCCGAAACGCAATTCCTTTTACACCTGCTATAAGGTTTATTTATACAGGGTGGCCCAGAAATAAGGGCAAGTACTTTAAGGGGTGCTATATCTCGATAAAAGAAATATATTTTCTCTTTATCGTTTTTCAAATAAGTCGAAAATAACGGAGGTATTTTACTTTGAAAATTAAAAAAAAAAGTTTTTTTTGCTCAAATTTTGAGAACCACTGGATCTTTTCTGGATTTTCTTTCTTATAAATTTAATCTACTACCTATGTTGCCATATTATCGAGAAATTATGTTTTTTAACTAAAAACTAAAAAAAAATCCAAAAAATTTTTCAAAAAATTCCGAATTTTCAAAAATAAAATTTTCGCAAAAAAAACATCATAGACGTGTTAAAATACTTGCATTTATTTCTGGGACACCTTGTATAATATATTATTATTAAAGTCGGCACCTCAAAAAAAGAAATATCACCGTATGAAGGTAAAAATACTATTGGCCGTTCCATCCAATTGTTGGTAAAAATGATCGGAAAAAAGTACGCAATTGAGCAATTGATTGCGGTACTACCTATTACTGAAGTATTGCCTACTACCGTTGATTGAAAGAATTGGGAAGATACACAACCTCAGGGCGAATTCGTGACAATGCTGATTTGATTTTCCCTTATGTCTGATGTGCTGTACGGCGGAGTCGCCACTCATTCTGCGGCCAACGCATAAAACACTTATTTTCTCTAATTCGACCAGCGAAGGCATAGGAAGGCATATCGAAGACGGTGTGGAACTGAAGGCGACAGTATTGCCATATTAAAATTTGTAATATCTGTAATACGTTTGACGAAGACATCTTTGGATGAAAAATCCGCGTTAATGTATTGAACATTTTGTTCGTGATAAATATAGAATAAATAGCAAAAATAAAAATTCTTTTATAGGTATTGAATATTTCGTATGATCGAAAAAAGTCGTTTAGTTGGCTTAGAAATTACGATTATAGACGTTTACATAATATTTTTACAATATACAACTCTGACGCCGTTTTTTCTTTCGACGCTGTTCTTTCTTATATTAAATTGTTTAATGACAGAAAAAATCCGTATTATTAACGTACTGTACCCAAAATCCGTAAATCTACGAATTAATCTAATACTAAGAAAATAGTTCTGGCAACACTGTCTCCGGCAACCACACTCTGTTGATGGAAAATAGCACTACGATACAGTATTCTTTATCCGCTGCGCTGTAAACGATTAGCGCGCAGCGGCGCAGGGCTAAACTAAATCTCGGACATCCTGACGGTATCGCCAGCTACATCTCGGACATATTTTGTGCCACGAAATCGTCTATATGTTTAGCATCTTCGTATTTCTTCAATCGACTCTTATTGCAGAAATAAAATTGGCACTTTTACTTTGTGCTGCTGTTATATTGAACTACCCTGTACAAGTTTCTTACCCTTGGCGGAGTTGCATTGGCTGGTCTGGCTGTGGGAGCAGCGGTGACCGGTATAGAAAACACCGGCACTGTTGGACAGAGAACTGGTGGGGTTGGAAACATCGTGTTGTAGAATACATTTGCTGGCAAGTATTGCACTGCAAACGTTAATAAATAAAACAGTAAAGTATTTTAAATTAATGTTCATTTTTTGCTGCTAGGACTAATCTGCACGGGTTCTATTTTGTTTAGGCGGAGTTCGAATTGCGTTCGTCAGCCATATTATAATGACTTACCGATTTAGCGACTCTCTAAATCCACACTTACTCACGAGATATCCGATCTCTAAACGGTGTGAATTCAGCAGTGTGTGAAAAGACTTTACGCTCTTGTCTTGAAACAATAGGATGATGAAGTTTTAAAACTAATTTCTAGTGTTTCTAGTGATCCAAATCGCTAGATACTGTTTTTTATAATTGGGTTAGGACCAAAAAGGAGTTTTAAAACTTACATATCACCCGTTCAATTCTTTACATGCGTAACTTAATTATAATTGATTTTCTTAATTTGAGTAGTAAAGAAAATCTTTATTAGCCTTACCTTGATATCGAGGTAGTGGTTCAACGTAGGATCTTTGTTGGACAGAGGCGGGGAGGTAATATACAGGGAAAATCCCTGTATTCATGGCCATTGCCCCGTTTAAGCCTGCATTGGTGGATTGATTGGTTAATGAAAAAGGAGGCCACGCATTAACTTCATGCATCTATTCAGAAGTTTTATTTATATTAGACTTATTACTTTAAGAAAGTTTTCTCGTTAGTTTCAGAAAAGTCGTTAGTATACAGTGAATGCCAAAAGATGGTAACAGATGGGGTTAATTCTTTTCACATAAAGTGTTTCTCGGTAACTCAATATTTTCTTTTATTTATTGTTATATGTTGCCATTTGCCACGCCATTTGACTGCCTTTTTTTGCAATCACCGTGTTTAGTGAAAATATTCATAATTTACCTCTGTTTGAAGTGGCTGAGTTGTACGCCGCAGGTCTTGTTGATTGGTTGACTGATGTGTGGCAGTATACTGATGCATTTGATTACGTCTACAGTGTTCTTGGGTATTATTATTATTTGCATGATGTTTTGTCATCTTGTGACAGTCACCTTCCCACGAATGTGATCCGCTTCGTTTAACACCATGCGTTTGCTGAAAAGTAAATTATTAGTTTGGTTCTCTGATTTGGTAATATCTAGATTATATATAACATTTTCTTATGAGGTTAATAAGGCTAATCTTTTGTTAGAACGCCATTCTGTTACACAATTTCCGATAAATATTAAATAAACAATTTATCTTTACCTGGTTTTCGTCTCCTCTTAACGTTTCATTCGCATGCTTTTCTAATTTTTGATGGCATTTCTTTGCATCTTTGTTATGAAATCTCTCCTCACGGTGCCTTTGGATTAAAATTTTTTCCATATCCTCGTTGTGTCTAAAATTAGTATTATTGAAATAATATAAAACTATAATTTAAAAAGATAGTTAAACAAAAATAATTTTTTTCGTAATGTAATAAGATTCCACTAATAAAATCAATTTAATTAATTAAATGAATAATTGCCCTCTTACATGAAATAGTTTTATCATACATATCTTTCTTTTATTAAAATTTAGAAGAAAAGATGATATTTACTTGACTAGTATAGATTCGGTCAACTGTGGGGGTTTATATGAATTATTAGATGTGTTTGTTCCACTAGTTGTACCACTTTCCAAATTGGGGTTACTTCCCGAACTGAGGTTTCCAGCACTTCCTGTTCTAGATGCGCCACTATTTTCAACTGGAGAAAGACATTTTCTAAAATGAAATACATATATAAATAAATCGCATTATTTATTTTAATAATATCGATTTCAATTTACTTCCTTAAATAAGAAATTTATAAATAATACAAAATATAAATAAATTTTTACTAAAATTGTGTTTGATTTACTAGAAAAAATCCCAAGTAGTATTTTTAGACACAAAATCGAAACAAAATCTCTGCTGAGAAACATTGCGATATAAAAATATCGGATATGTATAAACTTTAATTATTATTTTGACCATAAGTTTTGATTGGCGTTGTTGACAAGTGACTACTTCGAAATTTCTACATAGATATCGCTAAATCGAAATATTTTGGAAACAAAGTTTCCATTTATTGTCGATTCATTTTTGAAACACAAGTTTCTCTCATTTTAGACATACATGTGATATAATGTAGATTATTTTTTGTGTCCGACTCCATATCAATATTATAAAATAATGAATTAAAATTCCGCCATGTTGGCTAGTGATAGGCGTTTTTAACTAAAAATATATGTTTTTATCGGCTGTTGCTCAAAGCTTTTAAACTCATAAGAACGCGTTTTACTTACATTGATTTATATATTTTTATTTTCAGAACCATGATATAGAAATAAAAATAAAAATCTATATTTCAAACAAAAATATTTTGTAGCAACAAATAATGATATATAAAAGAGACATTAATAATATGAAAGTACATTATTAAATTAAACGATAAATTTGCTTTTGCCAGACATTTTTTGTTCAAGAAAACCTAAAAACAAAGATTTTAAGACAAAACAATTATGGCGGAGGTCGACATTGTTGATGGTTGTTTTCATTTGGAAATTCACAGACATAGACTATTTTAGTTTTGTATTTGGTTTCTTCACATTTAGAAACAGTGGCTGCTGAAAACGGAAACATTTTGTACACAAATCGCAGAAAATGTTTCGAAACATTTCCTCACAAAGTTTTGATTTCGCATCGAAACATTTCAGTTAACGACTAGTGCCACCACATTGGAAAAACATGTAATAAAGCCATATAAAATATATAGGTTTCGAAAATGTTTCCTATTTGTGGTATACTATTTCCTTTTTGTGTCAAGGAACTTGTGGGACTACTTGGGACTACTAGACACTTTGAAGTCTGTAGTTTTGACGTGAGTTTGATATTTCTGGCTAACGCAAAATCTCTATGGTCTTTTATATACACTGTTATTCTAGTGTCAAAACAAAATAATTCTTTTTATTTTATTTCAATTAGAAATTAATTATTATAAATATCATTTACTCTATTTATTTATTTGAATTTTTATAGTATTAAATATTGCAGTTTTTTGCTTTTTTAATTATTTATTTTTCTACATAATAAACAACTCAAATACATTTCTAAATACTTCAATATAATGATTGGAAATTGGCAAAATAAAAAAGTGGTTATCATAGCCACTGAAATTATGTTATTAGACATTAAAATATACTGGTACTTAAATTAATTATACGATAAAAGTTTATAAAGTGATTATGGAACAAGTAAATCGAAATCGAAAAGTAAAATTTGACATACTGAGTATTTCCCACGCAATCTGTAATGTTCTTAGAATCCGTATCCATAGTATTGGTTTGGGAGTTGCTCTCATCTGAAATGGTTGTTTTAGGGTTGCTTTGGAAGAACCTATTGATGTTTTCGTTGTAGTTTAATTGGTTATAGCTCGGCGGTGTTTCCGATGAGGATTTGCTGTCACAGTAGTCGTGGTGTGGAGATATCTCTCCCAACATCACAGAATCTCTCTCCTAAAATCGTTTATGTTATTGCTATATTTTGACTTACGTTGTATTTTTGATAAGAATCAACAAAATCAACTTATTTGGTTCACTAGCCAAACACAAAAATTTGTAGATTTTCTGGACATTACATATTTGTCTGCAATCTTCACGTATAGTGTAGCGTAACTCAGTAATTTTTTGAAGAAAACATCTGGCTTATATCGCTGGAAAGCTTTAAAAAAATGACGCTTTTTATGAAGCCATGGCTATGGTTTCATTTAAAAAAAACATATGTATGTTTGTGTCATATGCCAAAAATGATAGACTTTAGAAAAATGCAACTTTTATTTGAAACCTTTTTTGTCTAAAATATAGACTATATCAGACTATAATGAAATTAGGGAGCATTTTTAAAATTGCCGAAAATTGTTATTTTCGAAATTTCTAGTAAGCCACAAACTTTTTCAAAAATCCGAAAGGCGCATATTTATGACCTCACAAAACTGCAATTCTTTCCCCATTTAACCGACTCTCTAGCTCCAGTAGTTTCCGAGATACCCCTAGAGAACATTGTAGAAAACTCATCCTGTATATACCTATATAAATTATAAATATATATAAAATTTTCACAGATGGTATGTGAAACATTTCATAAGTATATAAAAAATATAAGAATTTAAAAATGTTTTATTATACAAACTCAAAATCAGCATACTAAAAATTCAAGAAATGCTCATCCTGACCACGAAAATTATGTAATTACTTACATATTTTTTACCTTATGCTTTATATCTTTAATATACAGGGTGGTCCGAATTGTATTCCGGAAACTTCGGGAGCATATTCTGCAGATAAAAAGAAGTAAAAAACTTCTTATAATATGTATGTCCTAAAAGGCTTAGTTTCGGAGATACAGGGTGTAGAAGTTTCATTTTTATTTCGATTTTTTCCAAATAATTTCTAAAGTAACGTCAATATTTGTATGAAAATTGGTGTCTGTTAGTTTTTTGACATAAGAAATTTGATTTTGATGTCATTACGACTCCTGTTTGTAGAGGGCGCCACCTACATGTGTTTTAACTGTTTTGAAGAGTAATAACTTTTTTTCCGTACCTGTATAGAACTGCTGAGTGGAAAAATATACATTTTCGTATTTTTTTACGTAAAAAATGTTTCTTGATAAAAATCGTTACGAGCAACCCTTCTCGAGATAATTAGAATGAGAATAGTCAATACATGTCATTATTGACAAAAAATAAACATGTTGAGTAGATAGTTATTTGACTAAAAAGATAAATTTGGAAAATTTAATTTTTTTTTAAATTAATCATAAAATTTTTTCGAAAAAATGATGATTGATGATGGTTTGGCACATAAACATTTCAAATTTATGATTTCCGTCTATTAACTATTTAGTCAACATGTTTAATTTATGTCAATGATGACAGGTATTGATAATTTCGATTTTAAATATCTCGAGAACTGTTACTCGTAGCGATTTTTATTATGAGATCTTTTTTACGTTAAAACGTCCTAAATGTATATTTTTTTACATAGTAGTTTTATACAGGTACGGAAGAAAAGTTATTACTCTTCAAACCAGTTAAAAATATGTAGGTGGCGCACTCTACAAGTAGGAGTCATTTTGACATCAGAATCGAATTTCTCATATCAAAAAACTCCCAGACACAAAATTTCATCCAAATATTGATGTTACTTCAGAAATTATTTGGAAAAAATCGAAATAAAAATGAAACTTCTACACCCTGTATCTCCGAAACTAAGCATTTTAGGACATATATTTATAAGAACTTTTTTACTTACTTTTATTTGGAGAATATGCTGCCGAAGTTTCCGGAATACAGTTCGGACCACCCTGTATATAACTCATACTTTTATAACAACTGCAATTCTTCTATGTCCATCAAGTATGAGAGAAAAATCTGCCTCTTAGTTTCAATAGGAAAACTGTATGTTTCAAATTTTCCTTTTTTTTTGGATAATAATTATTGTTGAGAAATTTTACAAACAACATGTAATAATATATTAAAAATAAGCACTATTTTTAAATGTTTCAGTATGAAAATTGTGCCCAGCAAACTAAATTTAAGAAGTGCTAATATTCACCATGAAAATTATGATAATACATATTTAAATTATTTTATTTTTTTATTTAACTCCTAAAGATACAATATCATGACAAGATGTGTCTGTTTTAGAAGAACGCTTAAATTAAGTTCTGGTAAATTATTTTTTTATAAAGATCTACTTAGTAGCAAATAAGTAAATTATTTCTGATATTGTTCGTAAATATAAGATAAATTAGAGCTTTCTATATCTTATCATTTTAAATCATTATATCGGCAGCTATTTAAGATATTTGAAATAGATTTTTTTAATCAAGCTAATCGTATACATGAACAAAGGAGTGCGCGGTTCCTATTTGTATTAAACATCATTTTTTAATTAATTTACACTATAAAGGTTTTTATATTTTACTTTATAGGAAGAGTCTCATCTCAAGAAATAAAAAGAATGAAAATGAATGAAAACTTAAGTAATATAGGCTGATATTTTACTATGCATTTTGTTCATTGAATATTGCAAACCTCCATTTTTATGAATTGAAGTACTATAACTTAAGTATGAAACACAATAAGTTATACTGTATATAACTTACGGATATCGTTGGATCGAGGTCTTGAGGCAATTCAATTTCCAGTTTTGATGGATTAACATTGTTCGTAAGTGTTTCCATAAAATCTGCCAGAACTTTGTATCGCTTGGTTACTTCCTGTTGTGCGATATCGGTTGGTCTAGGTATTTCCTGCTGATTGAAATATATGTATCAGAAAAAGGAAAACGATATTGAGACAATATTTTTTTGCTCTTATTTTGATTTTTTAGTCAGTTAGTCAGTTTTTTAGACCGCTTATTCACCCAAAAAATTATTGAATACCATAATCAGTTTTGTTTTGAATTGAGATTATTTTTTTTAATTTTCAAGGATCTATAAAAGACTGCATTAATTTTATAAATGGTTTTAACTTAAATTAATAATTAATAATTTTACTAATCCTATGCTATTAGTTTGTTATACTTTTCTGTGCTTATTTTGAACTATTTCTCGTTTACTTTATAATAGGTTTTATGAAAAGTATATAAATCTGGAAAGATATCCTGTCTAAGTGTTGCATTACTCTAAGATTATTGTGACTTTAAACAGAGTATTCAGTAATATTCCGAATTCACAATTTTCAGTTCTTTAAATATTTTACAATCAAAATTTTATAAAATAAAAAAGTATATAAAAAAATAGAAAGCGTGTATCATCAATAGCAAAATTATGTATATTTTTAGTATTCGCCATCTTTGTTAATTCTGTTTGGCTTTTCTCTTGAATGATCTGAATTTTTGTGGCTCTGATATGATTTTATCTTGTTTACTTTATAATTGGCTTTATGCAAAGTGTATAAATCTGGAAAAACATAAGTACAATAATATTTAAAGCGCATACTTTTTCAATTTCAATTAAGGGAAATATTAAATATTTAAAATTAGAAAGTGCGAATCATAAAAATTATCTTAGTATCTTACCTCACTGAGAATTTTGAGAATTTCAATTTGAATTTCCTTTCCTTGTTTGATAATTTCCTCAGGAATTTTTTTGAATTCTTCGTCGCTAGGAGTATCGAAAACATTTGGGTTGAGTGGTCCTTGAAGAACCCGTTGTAGGCGTATAACGAATTCCATTTTTTTAGACCATGGATTCATTACCCTTGACCATTCAGTTTCTATCATCGCAAAACAGCCGTTTTGTACTAGAAATCTATGAGGATGACAGCGGAAGACCGATCCTTTTTTATGGCACGTTGTCATCACTAAAATATTCGACAGTAAGTATTTGTATTCAATATATAGGTAGTGCAGTACCTGATTTATAAAGTTCTTTAAGAATCGGCATATCTTCTGGATGGTAAAAGTCAAAAACTGACTTTCCTAGCATGTCTTGAGGTAAGAATCCGAAATGACTGACTACTTCGGAATCTACATGGTTGAATATACTTGATGCGGTATGACGTATGCCGAATTTAACTGATACTATCTTCTCTCCTGGTACTAATAACAAAATAAAATATGAAAGGATGTAAATAAACATTAAATTTTGTTTTACCTTTATAGGAACTATGTACAGGTACAGCTATGACTACAAGAAATATCCCATGATTGTTGTTACAGAATTTTAAGTCTTGGGTTTCTTCTATCCTTTTGATGGTGACGGTCAAATGGAAGGCTTGATAAGATACTTGCTTATTAACAATACCAAATTCGGGGGATTTTAATCCTTTGTATTGTCGTAGGCACACGTAGAGGTTGTTTTTAAAGTCTGCCAAACAAAAAAAAAACTTAGCAAAAAAAATAATAACAAAAACTAAGAGTATAGACATTTATGAAGACACGGTAATAGATTTTATGTTGAGGATTCTGCTATAAATGCGGTTCTCAAAATGTTGTTAAATAATTCGGTTATTTTCAATTTATTTTAAAAATGGTAAAAATGGTGAAGAAAAAACATGTTTCTTTTGATCAGATCTACCACCTCTTAATACTAAACTAACTAATAATTAAAAAAAATACTTAACACTTCTGATAAAATAGACAAAATATTGTGTCTTTTTAAGACTAGCGCAAAAAGCAAATTACTTTACGCAATTTAATCATTAAAAAATAAAACTGGTATAAATTAAATATATGTATGATATAACTAAAGAGGTCAAATCTAATATGTATAGGTACCTCGTAGTTTTCCTTCAGCATCCATTAAAGGTGAAGCTAAACAATTGGTAATTTGACTGGCAAAGGTATCCCTGTCTTTAGGATGGATAAAATCGACAAACGATCGTCCAGTCCAAGTATCCTTGGGAAATCCCAGCACGTTGGTTAAACTAGGTGTCGTGTAAATCACCGCGCCATCATGTATGGATATGACGCAGCAAAATCCTTCCTAAGAATTTTTTAATACATTTTTGAAGACTACAAATTAAGACTATACTAATTTAACTCACGTTGAAATGATTTAAAGTCTGCGGTTCGTTATTGTTGCAAGGAATGAGGTTTTCCTTATCACATTCATCATCGGCCTTTTCAACTATGGAATCCTCTTCCATACAAATAGTGGATTCTTGTATATTTTCTAACTCGTTACTGCTAGTTTCTATCAAGAACAAAAAGGAAACAAAGACAGAGTTGTATATACTTAAATTTTCGCGCTAGCGCATCGAGCTTTAAGTGACTGTTAGATTTTAGTTATTATAACTATTGATAGTATTTATTTTTTTTATTCGTATTAAAATATCAAACATTAATTTTGATATTTGAGGTCTTCTATTGTCAAATTAATTAATCATTTTTCATTATTAATGATTATTTTCTCGCTTTACTGTTTTTATTAAAATCTGAATAATAAGTTATTAAAGTCACTTCTCTTAGTGCTATAGTCGCCGCCAACAATAGTTCAGACTCCTAAAAAACTTATTTCCGAAACAGAAAATTTAAAATAAATATTTTTTTTAAATGAACAATGCGATCGAAAAATAAAAGACGCCTTAATTACCTTCAGAAAAATCTACCGATTATAATTATACAGGGTGGTTCGAATTGTATTCTGGGAACTTCGGCAGCATATTCTGCAGATAAAAATATGCAAAAAATATAAATTTATATCCTAAACTGCTTCGTTTCTAAGATAAGGGTCTAGGGGATTAATTTTTATTATGATTTTTTCCAAATAATTTTTGTACTAATGTCGATATTTGGATGAAAATTGATATCGGGGGGTGATTTTCTGACATGAGAAATGTGATTTTGATGTCAATATGACTCTTACTTGCAGAGGGCGCCACCTACATATTTTTAACTAGTTTGAAGAGCAATAACTTTTCGTTCGTAACTGTATAAAACTACTGCGTAAAAATATACATTTCCGCCTTTTTATATATAAAAATGGTCTCTTAGTAAAAATTCTACGAGTAATGGTTCTCGTAATATTTGAAATCTAAATAATCAATACATGTCATCATTGATAAATTAAACATGTTGAGACTAAATAGGTATTAACTGAAATCATAAATTTGAAATGATTTTGTGTTAAAAGTTCAACAGAAACTGTTTTATCGTCATTTTTCGAAGAAAAAATTATGTCTAATTTATCAGTGGCGTAACTACCGATGTGCGGTGTGTGCGAAGCACACGGGCCCGAGCTCTCGGGAGGCCCGGGCCGCATTTCCATATCTATCACATGCTATCGCGAATCAAGCAGAATCCTTCTGTTTCTGATGAGGATATATATGAAATGGGTCAGGTTCTATACCTTAAATACCCCGATGATATTGTCTATACGATTTCTTCTCAATTACTCTCCTTCAGGCAATGTTTCCGAAATAATTTATATGAAATCAATTGCATTTTTGAACTCACTGAATTTATTTTAATTAAAAACCTTTCATCGTCTTCTAGTTTCAGCGAGATTTTAACAGCGTGTCATATTTTTCTCACATTACTTGTTTCTGTGGCCTCGGCTGAAAGATCTTTTTCCAAATTAAAGCTTGTCAAAAATTATTTAAGAAATACTATGGGCAAAAAAGGGTTATCAGCTTTGGCAATTATTTCAATAGAAAATGAAGTTCCCCGTACAATAGACATTGGTAATGTTGTGTCAACTTTCATCCATACTAAAGCAAGGAAAAAAGAATTTTAACATGTTCATGTTCCTATTTACATTGTTTCTTTAAATTTAGTTAGTTTTGTTGTTGTTTTTTGTTTTGTTTTTATTTATTTTTTTTATTTATTTGATATTTTGTATGTTTTGGGTTACATATTTTGTGTTGCAGTAATAAATAATACTATATAAAAATTAATTTGATAATGTTATTTCTAACCTAAAATGTGAGTGCATATTATTCAGATTAGTATATAAGTATTGAAATATGTAGGTGTAATAAGGGGCCCGGTAAAATTTTTGTACACTAAACTAAAATAACTATCTTCTCAACATGTTTACTTTTTGTCAATAATGATATGCATTGACTATTTCCATTCTAAATATCTTGAGAACGGTTACTTATAGTGAAGAAACCCTTTTTATGTAGAAAATGACGGAAATGTATATTTTTTCAGTCAGTAGTATTATACTGGTACGGACAAAATTGTTTATTACTCTGTAAAACAGTTAAAAACATTTAGATGACATCCCCTACAAGTAGGAGTCATATTGACATGAAATTAAATTTTTTTGACACCATTTTTTTATCCTAATATCGATATTAGTTTAGAAATTATTTGGAAAAAAATAAAAATGAAATTTCTACACCCTGCAACTCCGAAACGAAGAATTTTAGCACAGAATATCTAGCTATAGCGTATATATTCTATAGCTATAGCGTATATATTCTATAGCTATAGCGTATATATTCTGTGATTTTAGGACTTACATTTATACCAACATTTTTACTTATTTTTATCTACAGAATATGCTGCCAAAGTTTCCCGAATACAATTCGGACCACCCTGTATACATTTAAAAGTATAATCTGTGAGAATCCTAAAGGTGTCTCTCTCTTGACGCCATTTTTCTTGATCACACATATCTACACCATGTGTGATATATTTTGCCAATGTTAAGAAATGTTAACATGATTCTGCATTAATATTATCGATTTTCTTTATAAAAATTTAGCAATTAATTTTAGTATTTTGTGCTTAGATATGGTCATATTTAATAGTTATTTACCTATTGCAAAGGCAGGTAGTGCAGCAACAGCAGTGCAAACTGGTTCAGAGGCCTCAGTCGTGGGAGCCGGACATTCTACACCTATGTATTGGTTTTTAATTAATAATCAAGTAACGACCAGTTTGTTATCTTAATTAATACAATGTTTAATAAACATCAAATGAAATTTTGCCATATTACGTCCGAATTTAAATTACCTTAAGAGCGAGCCCCCATTGCGCCAGACTTAAAGCCCCCAGAACGACTGCCCTCACGGTTTCAGATAGACCTAAGACCACTATTTTCCGTTTACATTCAGGATTTAGTTTGTTTCATTCAATGTGATTTGGAAGTGTGGTGATTTAGAGTATAGTGGATAAGGTATTGGTGCGTGCAGTAAAAAAAGTCCCTTTATCAAGAAAATTGGTGGCAAATAAAACGGAGAAGGTGAATTACCAGTAATGCTGTCGTCGGTGGGATTTTCTACAACTGTCATCTCGGCCGGAGCGGAAAACTTTTCGGGAGGAGTTTTAGTCTTTTTCTTTTTATGTTCTTTGGAACGTTTGCACGGCACATTTTCAGAGCTGAACAGAGGAAAATATAGTTAAACAATTTATACTAAAACTAATATACCGGGTGTTTTTCAGAAGTGGCTCACACCTATAACTTTTTTATCTTTTTGAGATAAAAAAATGAGATTTTGAGTTTTTAAGACATAAAGGACTGATTGACGTATTCAATAATTAGTTTCGGTCATTTGTTGTTTCACCGGAAACAACTACAACTTTTGATTTTTAAATGGTACACTCGGTATTTTTTTACTTTATTTGAAAGAAAATGACATTGCGGATAGAATGCGGATAGAATGACATATCGTATGCCATCTTTTGACACCTTTGCTTAAAAAAAAATTTAAATTTTAATCTAGAGTGTACGAAAATAAATATAACAACGATTTAACTCGAAATACCAAGTATGTGGTACCGAACGATTCGTAAAAAAATGCTGTTTCCAAATTTGGTAATGAGCCCTCGTTTCATTTGAAAAAAGTGAGTTATGATTAAACATACAATTTGGGCATTTTTTATTTACGTACTGTCATTACTCGCTGACGAGTATTCGATACGCATTAGAAGATGGTTACGCAAGGAGTTTTCCTGTGACTAAAAAGCCCGATACGTGATGTTATCTCTCTTCCCCACTCCGGACATCAGTACTTTGTTGCCTTTTTACTTATTGGTTATCGTTGTTAATTGAATTTACAATTCTTCTCCATTACGTTTTATTGTGCGCTGCTTCCCCCCACTAATTCTGCATGCTTATCCCCTTTAAGTTTTTATCGTAAATATCGTTGTACCTTTTGAGTTGGCCTCCTGGTTTCCTCTTACTGTCGCAAGCTCACCGTAAAGAACAGGTAGGCGGTTTTTTTGCCTCCTGCATACGTGACCAGCCCATCTTAAGCGGGATTTAGTAATCATGACTTCAGCGCTCTCGTAGCTAGTTTTTTCAAGGACCGATACGTTTGAGATATGGTGGTTACCATTTTATTCTTAACAGTTGTCTAAGGTGTCTCTGTTGCAACTTGTTTAATTCGTCCGTATGCCGGTGTTACGGCAACGGTACCCAGGTTTCGCTTCCATGTAACATGGTGGCGATTATTATTGCTCGGTACTGCAAGTTTCGTTTTTGTGCTCAAGTCATAATTGTAGAAAATCCTGTCTTTTAATTTCCAGAATGCTCTTCAGGCGCTGCTACTTCTGTGCTGAATTTCAGAAATGGCATTTTTCAATCTGCCAGGAAAAGACACGAAAAACACTACAAGCAGTAAACGATGGAATTTATTTTTTCAAGGCTCCTTGATTAAAAATTAGTAGATTTAACAAAGCCATGACACTCTAGATTGGTATTTTTGTTTTAAGTAAAAATGTCAAAAGTCAACATATGATATGTTATCTATTCGAAATGTCATTTTATATCAAGCAAAGTAAAAATACCTAGGGTACAATTTAAAAACCAAAAGTTGTAGTCATTTTCTGCGAAACAAGATGTGACCGAAACTAATTGAATATGTCAATCAATCCCCGATTTATGTTATATACTAACATACCAAATCTCTTTTTTATCTGAAAAAATAAAAATGTCATAGGGGTCAGCTACTTTTGAAAAACACCCGGTATACAAAAATAAGTTGTATACAAGTTGACTGTACACATTCGTTAATATTGAAAAAAAAAATGTGTTAAAAAAGACACCTATAGTGTTCAGTGAACAAGTGCATAACAAGAAATAAAAAAAACAAGCTTTTTAATTGTCATTAGGTAACAATGTATTATCATGACATGATTATGACTGACTGTCTTGTAGATAAATTAGTAATTTGTAGATTATTTTATAATTATTGACTCGTGCTCTTACCTTTCTTCGCCTGTAGGGGCACCACAATAACCACTGCTTCTACTGGAATTGCTTCCACTATGTCTAGATTTTGTACTAGTACTGAAAAATAACTTCAATTATTCCTTTTTGTTCCAATGTGTTGTAGTTTTAATGTTACCTATGTTGGGAGGTAGTATTGCTACAACTATTGGAATATCCTGATTCGGATATTTTCGTATTACTTGTTCCTGATTCAGATTCCATTCTGATTTGTTAACGATTTTGGTAATTATTAGTCTGAAATTAAAAATATTGTTTTATGGATTATAGGTAAGGGAAAATGTTTAGAGAAGTTTTATGGAAGATATAAATTATGCAATAGACTATAGTCTATTTCTTAATGTTTGACAGTACAAGACCTTCATTATAAATGCAAAAAGCGTTTTGTTGTGTACAGTGTCAAAAGATGGGACAAATTTAATTTTAAGGGTATATGTTCCAATAAAATTCAGACAGCTTTAATACTTTTGTAGACGGACAAATCAGGTACGTTTGCCGAGAATAATAGTATTTGCTCGTATAAAAATAGGTAATAATGATATTTTCAGAGACTACAGGTATTAAGGTTTTAAGATTTATTTTAAGTTTTGTTAAATATATATTTTGTTACACAGTATTAAATAATATTATGATATTATTTAACACTGTGTAACAAATGGCAATACAAATATTTATTCACCCGTTATTGGCATTTTCAGTAACGTTGAATTATACGAGTACACACAATTATTATCATACATATTAGTGAAGAAATATAAAGTTTTATTGTTAAATGAATGTAACAGGTTACAAACCTAAACTACAAATTACAAAAACAATGTCACCCGTTTAGAAAAACATTTCAATTAATGTTTAATAGTTACAATAATTAAAATACATAATAAGTAATTATAAATCATTCTTACTGAAGTCAGAGTCGTCAGAATTTCAAACTGACATTAGCAGAGATGAAATAAATGATGACGATCTTCGAGTTAAGTCGGAAAAATGACTTAAATCACATAAAATAACTAACATACAAACACAAACAACAACTACAAACACAAAAATATTTTTTTTTATAAAATTTAACCGAGTACTTATTACCATTACAGTTTAGATGTCATCGAATTCGTGTCTATTAAAAAGTGATGATGTGTGGATCACTATGTAATAAGTCGATGGCATAAGCTAAGGCCTTTTAAGATTTTCTTCAATATGTTCGAGATCAATTTGTTTCGTTCGTCTTTCTGGCGACATAACGGAGTCGGGGATTCACTTGAAAGACTACAGACTCACTACGCACGCGTAACACGACAAATAATGTCGGTTCCGAAGAAGTAACATTTTATTTGCTAGTGGTATTGAGCATAGAATTTTTATTCCGCTGCTTGGCTGCCACCTACAGCCTAACAGTTTAAAAAGTATGCCGCTGTTAAACATTTATCATAAAAATATATAAAAATCTGATTTATTAAAAAAGACTACTAGACAACTAGCGTGTACCTGCGACTTCGTTCGCGTCGAATTAATCATTTGTAATGGTGATGATAAAGCAAAGCAAGAATTTCCATTAACGTATAAAATGGATAAAATTTTCTCACATTTATGTCAGCATGAGAAAAAACAATATGGCGATATTATTATATAACTTGGTAATATTTGCGGGGTAGTTTCATCTCGTTGGACTTTCGAAAATCCGTTTGCCAAAAATAAGCTTGTTACGTCAAGCAGTTTAAGCAGAATCGTTGTTAATCAATTACCAAACTTTTTGGAACACCTTCTATGATTTTTTTAAAAATTTCAAAATATGTAAAAGAACAAAATAAATTATGCCTGTCCAAGCGTTTTCCTGAAAGACTAACCGTTTTTTAAATAACAAATATTGTAATATTTGAGGGGCGTTTTCATCCTCTTGGAATTTAAGATTCGAGAAACACCTCCTTATCGAACCTCTACACCCCACAGTCAATCCGTTTGCCAAAAATCAGCTTTAAACGTCAAGCAGTTTAAGCAGAATCGTGATTAATCAATGGTCATATTTTATGAAACACCCCCTATAAATTTTTAAAAAATCTTAAAATATGTAAAACAACAAAATAAAATATACGTGTTGAAGAGTTTTTCCGAAAAACTTACCGGTTTTTAAATAAAAAATATTCTAATATTTGAGGGGTGGTTTCACCCCCTTAGAATCCGAGTTTCGGAAATTCTCTTCTTATCGAACCTCTACACCCTAAAGTCAATCCGTTTTCCAAAAATCAGCTTTTTACGTCAAGCGCTTTCAGCAGGATCGTGATTAATCAATGACCAGATTTTTCAAAACACCCTATATACATTTTTAAAAAATCTTAAAATATGTAAAAAAGCAAAATAAAATATACGTGTTTAAGCGTTTTTTCGGAAACTTGACCGTTTTTTAAATAAAAAAATTGTAATATTTGAGGGGTGGTTTCACCCCCTTGGAACTGGAATTTCGAAAAATCCCTTCTTATCGATCCTCTACACCCTAGAATCAACCTGTATGCCAAAATTGAGCTTCTGTTTTCTGTGAGCTTGTTATAAAGTACTAGTATTGAATTCTTTTGCTTCCACTATGTTGACGAACGACCTTCCG